GCGTGACCGCCGGGCCCCGCGCAGGCGCGGGAAGGGAAGCGGCTCCCGGGCAGGGTCCGGGGCACGTGGAGCTGCTGATTAATGGGGAAGTGTTAATTGGCGGCGCGGCCTGGAGCCCAACGCTGGGGGCAGGGGGCGGGGTTGGGTGCCCAGCTGGGCTCTCACCCTGAGAGGAGGAGCTTTGAAAGGTTTCTCGCTTGCCTTCCAAGCCCTACAAAGCCTCTCCTGCAGGAGGGGAGTGGAAAGGACCCACCAGGACACCTTGTCCAACGGTCTGGCTGCTGTAGGGCTCACTCAGGGAACACATGAGAAGGGCAAACACCCTTTTCCTTGTTCCCTTCAAACCACGTTTTCACAGCTTCCATCTAATCCACCCATGTTTGCAGCCAGGAAGCACAGCCAGGAAGCACAGGCACCACATCCCCTCCCATCAGGACACAAGCCCTGGAGGTCTCTAAAGCTGCTCAAGAACAGACAGGACCCGTTTTTCTTAGTTTTTCACCCAGCAGAGGGGGCTCACAGCATCATGGCAGAGTAAAACTCAAAGGAAGGGGCTGGGATTGGGTCAGGGATGGTTCCACACCCACCTGCCCCGTGCCCAGAGCAGGCCAGCACACCCAGCTACTCACTGCCCAGTTTCCTACCATTAATTAAAACACACCAGGTCTCACCCCAAGGTTTCATTTCATTGGGGTGTGTAACGAGGGCACTTCCCAAGCCTGGGGTGACTGCAGCCACCAAGGGGTTGTGCTCCCTCCCCAGCACCACAGGCCTAACAAGTTGGACCTTCTAATCACTGTTTAAAAGACAAAGCATTATTATTATTATTATTTAAAAGGTAAAGAATTATTTTACCCTTCTTAAATCATTTCCTTTAATAGGAAGTGCTGTTTTACTCTACTTTGTGCTTCTGAAACAAACATTTGTGTGCCAAAAATAGACAGTGTACACATCCTCTGTAGCTATAGATACAAACATGTACAAGAAAGGAGCAGGCTGGAGCAGATGAGCTGGGAAAAAATCCTCTTGGGAAAACCTCTGTCTGGCACAACTGCCACAACCAGATCAAACCATGACCCTGGGGGAAGGGGGAACAATGTGGGTTTAAAAAAAACAAATACAAATTCCACACGCTGGTTTGGGGTTTCTGCTGAATTCCTCACCCCTTTCTTTAGTCCTTTTCCCAGCCTTTCCTTTAGTCCTGCTGATCTGCTGGATCCTGATGGATCTCCTGGTCCATCCAGCTCCAGGGCGTCCTTCCCGCTCCCGCCCGCGTCACTCGGCTTCACACCCAAGAGGACAACGTGGCTCCCCAGACGTTTGGTTCCAACTCCAAGGTTTCCTGAAACTAAGGGAAAGTGAGGAGACTCCAGAGTTCTTGGCCTTTTAGCGGATAGGTCGGTATGGGAATGTCATTCCTGGTATGAATGTTTGCACGGGATGAGCCGGGAGCGCGGGATGTGCCGGGAGCGCCGGGTGCGCGGGGTAGCCCAGGGGAGGAGTGTGGATGTGGGGATAGAATCCTGGTGGCAGAGTGCCATGGGCTGGCTGCTGCACTGGGCCTGAGATCACCAGCTGGAGCAGGCTGTGGAGAGACATTCAGACAGGCAGGAGGGTTATTGGCAGGAGGGTTTTGTCCTGGCTGGCTCCAGCATGGAAGGGCCTGGCTGGAAGGACAATCCATAACTAACTCGCAGAGGGAAGAGGCAGGGATTCAGTTATGATAGAATCATGGAATGGTTTGGGTTGGAAGGGACCTTAAAGATCATCTATTTCCAACCCCCTGCATGGGCACAGCATGGAAGGGCCTGGCTGGAAGGACAATCCATAACTAACTCGCAGAGGGAAGAGGCAGGGATTCAGTTATGATAGAATCATGGAATGGTTTGGGTTGGAAGGGACCTTAGGGATCATCGATTCCCACCCCCCTGCATGGGCAGGGACACCTCCCACCAGCCCAGGTTGCTCCAAGCCCCATCCAACCTGCCCTTCAACACTGCCAGAGATGGGGCAGCCACAGCTTCCCTGGGCAACCTGGGCCAGGCTCTCACCACCCTCACACCAAAGAATTTCCTCCTCATGTCCAACCTCAATCCCCCCTCTTCCAGTTTTCATCCATCCCCCTTGTCCTCTCCCTCCCTGCCCTTGTCCCAAGTCCCTCCCCAGCTTTCCTGGAGCCCCTTCAGGCATTGGGAAGGAACTTAAAACTCTTCACAGCTTCTTTTGGACTTCCTTTTTCCCCTTTCACCCCCTTAAATTTGGTTGCTCTTTGCAAAGAAGCAAAGTGCAGTTCAGCTCAGGGCCAAGCAGAACAAGGGGAGAGTGAGTGGGAGATGGGACAACTCTGGGGCAGGTTCCAACTGTAATTTCATTTTCCCCTCCTGTTGTTCCAACACTGGCTGGGCAAGACCACCTGTGAGGTCCCTCAGTCAGGAGTCCAGCCTGCAAGGGCAGGAGCAGCCAGCCCTGTCTATGCCCTTTACCCTCACGCTAAACCCTGTGGGAACAAACTTCCAGAAAGCAGACACAGACTTTGGGAAGACATTTTGCCTCACAGCCCTCAGGTTTGTGTCTTGGAACATGCAGCAAAACCAACCCAGCTGTAGAAAGGTCTCTTACTTGTTGTGTGGCAGCCTGGAGCACACAGTTCTCAAGTCATCTGAAAGAGGACACAGACATAACAATGAGGTGAAGCAGAAATTAAGAGTCATTTTCCTCTCCACTCTCCTTCCTAGCAAGGTCAGATCACAAAAAAAACCAAACCCTCAACAGATCCAGAATCCCACTCTCAAGCTTCCAAAGGAGACAAAACATTTCTCCATCTCACCAGTCATTCCTGCAGCTTCCAGACACTTCAGTGGATGTTGACCCTTCAACCTAAGCTGCCATATGGGAAATGCAGCTTCACTTCAAGGCCAATCCAAGTCTCAGTACAGAATTCCCACCACCAATATCACATCAAGAAGTAACTAAGAGATAGGAAAGACAAACTATGGCTCTGCCCACTGAATGGGGCATTTATAGTGAGAAAGGCACCAGGTCCATGCAGGGCAAATTTTACCCAGTACCTGCTTTGCATTGGTTTGGGCTTTTTTAAACAGTTCTAATGTAAATAAAGAGTTGGGTTATTTTTACTGAGATTTATCAACTAGAATTTGCACCTTTTTACCATCTCCAAACTTCTGCTAAAGCAAAAGAGCTGGAATAAAGATATTAAATAACATATCCTCGTTATAGTCCTTTCTTGATAGGAAACTCCTGCCTTTGTAGAGAAATGCAGACCTAAAATGCTGAAATAACTGGTATTTCTGCAGCTACTTATACTGAATCACTTCCCACTTGACAGCAAAAGGAAATGCTCAGGTGAACAGCCAGAGAAAAAACACAGCCAACTGAAAACCCTCCACTTTTCTGTCTGTTCTTATTACATCCACAGCTACTTTAGGAAAGATCAGAAAGAAGAACACTGATACTGGGCCAGCAGTGCTGGTTCCACGAGGGCAGAAGCTGCAGGCACCTCCTGGGGCAGAGGCTGCTCTCTGCAGCTGGGTCTGCACCAACTGCCTGGGCTTTGAGGGGCTTTGAGCCTTCTGGTGGCTTCCAGAACCTCCTGTTTGCAGGAGAATGTTATCAGCAAACCTTCTGTCTGTCTCACCCTCTGCTGGGTTAAGGCTCCTCCCTTTTTTGACACAGGAAAGACACATAAACAGCCTCCTTTACTGAGTTTAACTGACCTTGTGGTCTCATTACAAAAGAGCTAAAGGCCCAGAAGTTCCACTTTTTCCAGTGGATAAAGTTCTTAGATAACCCCTTTTTGTTTACTTTTCAAAGTCCTTGTCCAGCACACCCACCCCATGTTGCATCTAGTTCATGGCAGCTCCTGAAGCACCATCAAACACTGCTTTTTAAATAGCTACAACCAGTTTTGTGGGGTCAGATTTGTGCTGGACACCCCCATATCCCCCCTCCCCTGTGCACACTGACCAGCAGCTCTCCAGCAACACACCACTCACCTCTATGTCATCTCTCCTTCCTTGCTCCCCATCCAGTGATTTTTCCTGAAGTATTTCCTGCACTATCACTTCTTAAGAGCAGCAAACTTATGCTTTTTCCTCTCCCCATCCCAAAACTCCCTCTTACAAACATCCACACACTGGAGGAAGAGAATCCCACGCCAGGGTCTCCACCAGCCCCCCTACCATCTCACCTCTGGTGCACAGGAGGGCTCCTGATGCCATGGCCACTTGCAGAGCCTGAGCCAGCCTGTCTAGAGCCAGTTCAATCTCTTTGGATGCATTGAGAGGATTGAGTTCATCAGATAGTCTGTTAATTTCCTCAACGAGGGGAACCACGTGGTCAAAGGGAATCAACCCCAGGCGCCCATAAAGGTTCTTCTCTGTTAGATGCCCCTGAAGCATCATCAGAACCTGCAGGACACTGAGGTGCAGTTTGGAATACAGCTGGTGACAATCTCGGTCTTCTCCTGAAGCTGAGTCCTTGGCAATTTTGTTGGGGGGGTGTCCATTGGAGAGAGAAGCTTTCTTCTTCCTTTTGTAAGCCAGAGGGGCCTTCACACACCAGCGGATCAGTCCGGTCAGTGGGGTGAGCTCCAGAAACCCTATTGGCAGGTTGGCTGCAATGGGAGTGTTGAGGAAGGTGATGAGGATCAAACGGGGGTCTTCAAAGATCCAGGAGACAATCAAGTCCAGCAGATCCGAGGGAGGGATGAGGTCATCTGAAGACAGGAAAGGTGTTATTGAGTAAGCTGAGCCCTGCACTGCAGCACAGGGCAGAGGTCTCTAATTGATCTCTCTCACACACACACTCTTCCTGCACTGTCACAGCTGCAATTGCAAAACCTTCCCAACACTGCTGGTTTTACCCAGACACCACAGGGAGGTGTGTGTCCCAGGGGAAACACAACCATGTTCCTGTCAATTTAGAATCATAGAATCATGGAATGGTTTGGGTTGGAAGGGAACTTATGGATTATCTAGTTTCAACCCCCTGCATGGGCAGGGACACCTTCCACCAGCCCAGGTTGCTCCAAGCCCCATCCAACCTGCCCTTCAACACTGCCAGGGATGGGGCAGCCACAGCTTCCCTGGGCAACCTGGGCGAGGGTCTCGCCACCCTCACAGTCAATAATTTCCTCCTCATGTCCAACCTCAATCTCCCCTCTTCCAGTTTTAATCCATTCCTCCTTGTCCTCACAATGGGACAGGGCTTGAAGCAACCTGGTCTAGTGGGAGGTGTCCCTGCCTGTGCAGGAGGTTGGATATAGATGATTTTTAAAAGTCCCTTCCAATCCAAACCATCCCATTTATGATTCTATGAGTCTATCTGCTGGGCAGGTGACACACGAACAAAGTGCCTGCCCAGCAGTTCAACTGTCACTCCTAGAGTTGCTCCACAAGGTCCCCATGTCCTCTTCCATGCAGGACACTTCCCTCTGTGTCAGGCATTACCTGCCTGCTCCTCCAGCCCCTTCAACCACCGCGTGGTTATTTTTAGCCTTGTCTGGCATTGTTCTGCAGCTCTGGGAAGCAACTTACCCGAGGAGAGGTCATAGAGGGCTGTGACAGAGGTGATGAACTGGCAGCAGAAGCGAGGGCTGGCACTGAAGATCTGCTTCAGGGTCTGTATGGAGCCAGGCACCAGGTTGCAGTAGTCGTCCACCAGGGCTCGGGCCAGGCGCACGCAGTACACGGCGGGGGTGCGCTGGGGGGCACAGGACAAACCCAACCTCAAGAGGGTCCTACAGAGCTGACTTCAAAGCCCACCTTGCCCAGCCACTCAGCCTGCCCACCTCCCCCAGCTGCTTCACTGTCTCAACACTTCATGTGGCCACATCCCCACAGGTTAAAGCTCCCTTTCTCTCTGCCTGCACATCAAACACAACGAGCATTTCATGATATCAGAACGAGATGTTCAGTGCTCACCTGCATTAAATCTTTTTACATCAATATTTTGACTTAAGAGACTTTTCACAAGGGCTTGTAGTGAGAGGACAAGGGGGAATGGATTAAAACTGGAAGTTTTAGGTTAAACATGAGGAGGAAATTCTTTGCTGTGAGGGTGGTGAGAGCCTGGCCCAGGTTGCCCAGGGAAGCTGTGGCTGCCCCATCCCTGGCAGTGTTGAAGGGCAGGTTGGATGGGGCTTGGAGCAACCTGGGCTGGTGGGAGGTGTCCCTGCCCATGCAGGGGGGTGGATCTAGATGATCTTTAAGGTCCCTTCCAAACCAAACCATTCCATGATTCTATGATGTTTTTACTACTTCAGCAACTAATTCTGTAGTTCAACCAGTTCAGCACAAGCAAAAACTAGTTCTGTAACCTCTCGGTTACCCTTGACATCCTTAACATAGAAAAAATCCTTGAGGTCTATGATCTGCCAAAAAACACCTTCTTCTTCTAACCAGGCCACATCCCCTGCTGGAGGGGAAGTAGAGACCCCACAGAAACTGCACTGGTCTGTCCCTTCCCAGCACAGCCTTCCTGCTCGTCCTCTCTAATGCAGGTGACTTCTGCACACCCTGCAAGGCTGCGGGAACAAAGCTGTGCTTCCCAAGGTCTGCAGCAGGGAATGACAGTGGGAAAGGAGGAGACACAGGAGATCCCTGACATGCTGCACTCGTGGCAGACAGACACAGGTGTTTCGTGCCCAGATCTTAAGAGAGAGATTTGGTCTCTTCTGCCGTGTCCAAACATACATCTTGACTCTGAGGGTGGCAGAGCCCTGGGACAGGCTGCCCAGAAAGGCTGTGGAGTCTCCATCCCTGGAGACATTCCAAATCCACCTGTGGGATCTGCTGTGGGGGATCCTGCTCTAGCAGGGGGGTTGGACTAGATGATCTCCAGAGGCCCCTTCCA